GGGAGCAAAATCCCAATTTTGTTCCCAAGCCTCACCACTTTGATGACTCTCAAAGTGAAATTCTACCTACTTTTCCCCTTGGAACCACAGCCAATGAACTGGAATTCTTTGAATTATTCTTTGACCAGCCATTGATGGAAACTATTGTCAGGGAAAGTAATAAGTATTTTTAAATACACCATGGCCCAAATACCGTTTATATCACCACATCAAGACTTAAAACCGGGTGGAAAAAACGACTGTTGCAGAAATGTTTTTTGCTTTTTGAAACAAAAATGCTTACCCCCTTGTCTAAAAGCAAATATAAAAGCATACTGGTCCACGGGATCAGAAATTTCAAACCCCGGTCTTTCCCCAGTAAAAATACCCCCGAAAAACAGGTTTATCTTCTTTTTCCCGTATTTGCACTTCTCGGGAAAAAACCAACCCCTGACAAAAAGTGAAAAGGGTTAATAAAGATTAAAATTTTTTTCATGTATCTAAAACAAAAGTTCAGCTTTAATTTTTATCCTTTCCCAAAAAATTTTTTGAAAATTGACGAGTCTTTGTTTTTGTTAAAAGGGTGGGACTGTCATTAAAGCAGTATATCCCGAGCAAGGGGAAAAACCTTTGGTATAAAACTGTTTGTACCTGTACTGTGACAGTGGTGGTGTTGGAATTTTTTGTATACAGGGGAAAGGGAAAAACTTAAAAAGATACCAAGATGTTTTTGGGGTACTCAGGTGACGTATTGAGAAAACATGATGGCCCCTTATCTTTTAAAGGGGCTTTCATTATATACGAAACGGGTAAAACAAGCCCATTACTCAGTGATTTCAGCAAATGTAACAAGCAGATGTGTGTGGAAAACAGTGCTTTTAAATCGAAAAACTAGGGGCCCGGGCTAAAAGGGCGGGTTTGTCGTGGTGAGGGACGTGCAGGTTTTTATGCTAATGCCCACAGGATTACGGTGGCATGACAAACGAAAAGTACATTGTTGCCCAACCCTTCCCCAATAATAAAAAATGCAAGACAGTGGCAAATTTTGATCGAGGAAAATGAACGATTCAAAAAACCAGTGCAGTTTTGATTTTTCACAAAAACATGCATTTGGGTTGACAAATGGACATGCAGTTTGGGTTTTGTTTTACTGTGTTTGTAAGAGTTTCAATTTGATACATGAAAATTTTCTTCCAAACTCATGGACAATTTTAATGCTCAATGCATATAATATGTACCAAAAAAAAAACTGGCAGCGACCACCTTTTGGTGAATTTTGTTTTGGGCATTGTCAAAAACCCAAAAATCCAAAAAAAAAAAAAATTGGGGAAAAATACCCCGGTAAGGGAAAACCCCGCCCATACAAAAAAGGGGCCTCGAATTTCCAAAGGTATACCCCAAAACGTTTGGGGAGAGAAAGGTGATCATTTCTAATACAGCTTCCTTCAACTCAGAAAAATTTGCTCAAAGAGATCAAAAGTCTGTGCACAAACAAAACGACGGAACAAAGACGCTAAGACACTCGGTTCATGTGGAAGAATGTTTGGGCCTCTTTTCCCTGGTGCCTTGTTTTAAGGGAGTTCCCCCAAAATCCCCCCCCCAAGGGAAAGGTTTTCCTTTATGTTGGTGAGGGGCTTTTTGATTTAGGGAATTTTGGGTCTGTGCCCAGTTTCCCCCAATTTTAAACCCCCAATGCCTTCCCATCCCCCCCCGGCGCTTATAAACCCCGGGTTTTTTTGGTTCCCCCCTTTTATTATAAAAAATAATAAACCACAAGTCCACAGTTCTAAAACCCTGTCCAGTTATTGTAAAATATGTAAATTTAAAGAAAAAAACCCTTTAGTATTATACAAAATTTTTTGCATGTTTATTGGGAATTTAAAAAACAGTGGTAAACAATAATATGATAACTTTAGTGCGTTAATTTTGTTTAATACATAGTTTTTTATATATTTCATTATATACAGTATTGGTCTCCCCCAGGCCCCAAAGTTATAGGAAAAAAAAAAAAATTGGAAAAGAAAAAGAAAATATAAAAACCGCTAAATTAAAAAAATGCCGTATGTGGAATTTGTCATGTTGGGCCCCCCCAACCCCAAACCTTTTGGACAAAATCTTTGGGACTGTATCTCGGTAAGTACTGTTTAGGGAATTTTTTTTTTTTCTTATTACCTTCACAAAAATATGCTTTTAAAATTTTGTAAATTTTTTTTTTTTTTTTTTTTTTTTTTTTTTTTTTTTTTTTTTTTCAAAATTTCTTGGACACTTGAGCACCACTTCAGATTTTGGCCTTGGACTCTGAAGGGGTTAAGCTATGTAATGGGTATGAAACCATCTGCCTTTAAGTTCCAATATTTTTCTTGTAACTCACTCTAGCATATGGAAGAAATGCAATCTACATAGTTGAAACAGTGTTGGTAGAACATGGGTATGCTATCAAAAGTTATGTTGGCTCCTCTGTATTTAGCAATTTAAAAAAAAATGGCACCAACTGCACGAAATGTAGATCTGATCTGAGTTACATTCAATGCAACCTTACTCTTAGCTTTATTTTAACTTTGCATTTTTATTACACTTCGATTTTACATTTTTCAACAAGTCGGCCGTCTCCCACCGAGGCAGGGTGACCCAGAAAGAAAGAAAATCCCCAAAAAGAAAATACTTTCATCGTCATTCAACACTTTCGCCTCACTCACACATAATCACTGTTTTTGCAGAGGTGCTCAGGACACAACAGTTTAGAAGCATATACGTATAAAGATACACAACATATCCCTCCAAACTGCTAATATCACAAAACCCCTCCTTTAGAGTGTAGGCATTGTACTTCCCATTTCCGGGACTCAAGTCCGGCTATATAAAAATAACCGATTTCCCTGAATCCCTTCACTAAATATTACCCTGCTCACACTCCAACAGATCGTCAGGTCCCAAATACCATTTGTCTCCATTCACTCCTATCGAACACGCTCATGCACGTCGGTATTAATTAGTGAAATACTTGGATCAGTGTCAGAAAAAGCTCAAGAAACTTCACAGATCTCTCTCTACCTGCATATCATTTTTTCTTTCCAAGTGGTGTTTCACTTTTATACTTGAATGTTCAAGTTTACTCTGACTAAATAAAATTACAACTTTGAGAATGTGATGTTAGCTCACCCCTGTATATATTTGTTCTACTTGTGTTAAGTTAGGAGTATTTTGTCAATTTTACTAACTTTCCAGATAAGTAATGCAACAGTGTTAGTAAACTGTAAATATTACTGTACTTGATGTATTGTGTACTTAATGAAACAAATGTACAATTATAAGAGTATGAGCATGTACTATGTACAATAATTACATTCTTGGCATAACTGATTTTTTTATTTTACTGTATAAGCTTATTCACCACTTGTAAACAAGTGACAAATTTTTACAAACATTAAGCCAATAGTTTAGCAGAAATACATATCTAAATATTTTAGTCCTATACAAAATAGCAAACAAGCTGTGGTTATGCAGAAACAACTATTTTCTATATCTAATGAAACTGAGTAGTTTCCTATGTCATTAAACTAGTCTCATTATACATTAAGTACTGCAAATGCTGTTTTTGTATTTTATCTGGGGATAAAAATCATAGCGAAACTAATTGTTGTTTTTTATTTCCTCAATTCTTTTGAATATTAAATGTTTTACATAGTCTAGCAGTGCTGTACGACCCATATTATCATTATCAAAACTAAATGCTAAACCACCGGCATTATATAGCACTGCATATATGACCCATGATAGTTACCTGGAGGTTACCTGGAGGTTATTCCAGGGATCAACGCCCCCGCAGCCAGGTCCATGACCAGGCCTCCCGATGGATCAGGGCCTGATCAACTAGGCTGTTACTGCTGGCCGCACGCAGTCCAACGTACGAGCCACAGCCCGGCTGATCCGGCACTGACTTTAGGTATCTGTCCAGCTCTCTCTTGAAGGCAGTCAGGGGTTTATTGGCAATTCCCCTAATGCTTGATGGGAGGCTGTTGAACAGTTTTGGGCCCCGGACACTTATGGTGTTTTCTCTTAGTGTACCAATGGCGCCCCTACTTTTTATTGGGGGCATTTTGCATCGCCTGCCCAGTCTTTTACTTTCGTAGGGAGTGATTTCTGTGTGCAGATTTGGGACCTATATGTGGTTTCAGGGGTCGAGTCACACATGTATATTATACGTATGTCTGTGTGTTTATATAGACAATGCTGGAGGGCAAGTTTCACCAAGAGTTAACTTGTATTACAAAGATTCATGCAGTGCATATGTACTGTATAAACGCTATATATATTATATCCATATTCCTCTTTCTATCACACCCCACCCCTCTCCCTGCCTCCTATGTATAATTTCTCTTATCCTCACTCGATGAAGGAGATTTATTAAAAAAAATCCATTTCTTGTAAATATGGGATAGGCTATCCTGAGATATGGCAATTCCCAAATGATATCAGATCTAACTATGCTGGAACAACCTTTGCGGTACTGTAGCTGATGAACTCTTGCTGCTAAGATTGATATCCTCACAGCGCTGTATAACCCTTGTGAGTTTAGGAATGTCGTAGAACAATGATTCTTGTACCATTGTGTTGCCAAAGAGTTAAGCTATTTTTCTGTAAGATTAACTCAATTTGTGAATTTTTCGCCCCTCAAGGAAGGTTCCTTGATGTTGGTGAGGGGCTCTTGATTTAGGGAATTGGGTCTGTGCTCCAGTTCCCCGAATTAAGCCTGAATGCCTTCCACATCCCCCCCCCCCAGGCGCTGTATAATCCTCCGGGTTTAGCGCTTCCCCCTTGATTATAATAATAATAATTGTGAATTTTTCGACAAAATTTTTTCGTTCGCGCTGAGCCCGCTCTAGGGGGAGAATTCCTTATAACTCAAATAAGGGATTAAAGTACACTACTAATGTATACATTCATTTTTAATTAGGTAAATGTTGCTCTGAATCCTTGGATCAAGAGCCAATGCTAAACAACGAAAATTGCTAGGTTGGCGGGAAGCAGCAGCCAATTAAAGCCACGATTTAACCTATGACGTCACAGACTCGACGGCCAAGACCCAGTAGCCAATCAAGAGTTGTGACGTCACTGTTGAGGATGTATACATCATGGTTGATCAGCCAATGAAAGTGCTCAGAGGCTCCTACGTCACAGTCTGGTGGTGGTGCATGTCCCCGTAAACTTGCGCCTCAGTCATGCGCGGAAGATGACGTAGGGGTGTCCGCTCCTCTCCTCTGGTAAGCATTTTTCCTTCATATCGCCTAAATTACTGGTTGTTTTCATTAACTAATGCTTTTACATGGTCATAAACAGTATATATATATCTTTTAAAGTAATTGTGCAATTATTGATTTTTGTTCCAATAAATTTGTTGAAACTAAGTTCAGCAGCTAACTTTATATGGTAAGTGCTAACTATATTATATGGTCACTTATGTAACTTGCACTTGTCACCATTTATTACGTCACTACCACTTATAAGTGCTGGTTTATGATGGGTTGAAACATTAACAAGAGGTCGTTTAGTGTAAATTGTCACCACCACTTGTGAGTTGTAACTTGTCACTTTACCACATACAAGAGGAAAGTTTAACTTGTGTCACTAGTAAGTGGTAAGTTGTCACTATCACTTGAGTGGTTTAGAGTAACGCCCCTGTAACACTTATAGTGGCGCAGTAATGTGCGCCGATAATTAGCGCCAAGTTTTAATACATGTTAGGACCATTAAGATATTAATCATATAAAATATTTCCTTATTCTAGGCTACTTCTACATTAATATATTTATTTTTATTAGGGGGAGATTGCTCCAAATCCTTGGATCAAGAGCCCATCACCTGCCAGGTGTATGCATGTCACGGCTCTGGCCACAGCCAATGAAAACGAGAGTTACTAAGTTGGCGGAAAACAGAAGCCAATTACAGCCTAGATTTAACCTATGACGTCACGGGTTCGAGCGCCAAAACCCAGCAGCCAATCAGCATTCGTGACGTCACTTGAGCCAATCAGCGCACAGTGGTGGTGGTGCGGGAGCCTAAACTTTATCAAGTCAAGCGCGGGAGATGACGCGAGGGCGCGCGCTCTTCTGGTAAGAATTTTTCCCATATTTCTCCTAAATTACTTGGCATTTACATTGTTTTTACATGGTAATATAAAGTGTGTGTATATCTGAAATAGTAATACTGCAAAATATGGTAAGTAACTTTTAATGTCACTACTTAAGTGGCAGTGAATTGTCATGTACCACTTATGTAAGTTATCACTAGCACTAAACGGTAAATTGTCTACAAATTGTAAGTGGTTGGTAGTAACGTATGTCGTTTTACCACTTTGTCGTTTATGGTTGTAACTTGTCACTTATAAGTGGTCGTTTATGGTCTTGTAATTTGTCACCACCAATTAAGTGGTAATTTAGTACGGCATCACAATACCACTTGAATGTTGTCAATTATAATTGTACCTTTTACACTTTATCACTTACGTAAGTGGTCGTTAGTTTATATATTCTGGAAGTGGCCTTTAATATCACCTTGACGGGCAGGGTCTTGATCCAAGGAATCTGAACCACTATTTCCTGTAGTGACTTCCATTCCCCAGGCACTGTATGACCCCCATACGGGTTTAGCGCTTTACAGTAAATGCCACGGCACAGCATGTGCGCTCAGTTGACGCCATTAACTCGCGTTCTTGGCGCCAGTGTGTGAAATCCGCTCTAGGAAGCGCAAAGCCAGGTCACTCAGCCCCCCAAATGATTAATGAGTTTCAAAACTTAACCACGCGTGGGTCAAGTGTATATATACACTTGAAATGTTTATATATGTATATATACTCGGTGTATATACATTGAGATTCAGAATATAAAAGTATTTTCTCATTTCTGGACTATTTCTATATATAATTGCTTTTATTGGCGGGGGGTGCTCCAAATCCTTGGATCAAGAGCTCATCAAAATGTCCTGGCCACAGCCAAATACAAAGTTGGCGGGAAGCAGCAGCCAAATACAAAGTTGGCGGGAAGCAGCAGCCAAATACAAAGTTGGCGGGAAGCAGCAGCCAAATACAAAGTTGGCGGGAAGCAGCAGCCAAATACAAAGTTGGCGGGAAGCAGCAGCCAAATACAAAGTTGGCGGGAAGCAGCAGCCAATTAGTCTCGAGTTAACCTATGACGTCACAGGTTCGAGCGCCAAGACCCAGCAGCCAGTCAGTAATCGTGACGTCACTTGGCCAAACACGTCACTGTCGATCAGCCAATCACTTCAGCGGCTCCTACATGACTGGTGGTGGTGCGGGAGCCCGCGAAAACTGGCGCCTCAGTCATGCACGGGAGAAAATGGCGGGGGCGGGGGGTGCGCACTCTGGTAATTTTATCCTCATTTCTTCAAAATTACTGGTCGTTTACATTAACTAATGCTTTTACATGGTTATATAAAGTAAATATATCTGAAGTAATAATTTTGTAAAATATGGTAACTTATGTCTACATAAGTGGTTGTCAATTGTCACGTACCACTTACATAAGTGGTTGTAACTTGCCACTTTACCTCTAATAATTGGTATGTCATACCAATTATAAGTAATTGGTTGTAACTTTGTCATTACCACTAATGTTAAGTTGTAATTTGTCATTTTACCCCTTACAAGTGATCGTTTATGATCGATTGTAACTTGCCACTTTACCATTTACTGCCACTTAAGTGATCGTTTATTTTAAATTTCGGGGCCATGGCCACGGTGGGAGGATCTTGATCCAATGAATCCGAGTCACCATTCCCAGTAATGAATATATTCCATTCCCCAGGCTATGGGGGATAATTCCACTCCCCAGGGGGTATGGGGGATATTCCATTCCTCGGGAATTTTATTCCATTCCCCAGGGGCTATGGGGGGGTTTATTCTTTCCCACGCTCTACGGGGGATATATTCCATTCCACGGGCTCCCGCGGGGGTATATTCCATTCCCCCGGGGTTGTGGGGATTGATGTAAACTTGAAAAAGTGTGCGTATATAGCATATCAATGTGTATGTATATACTTGTTCCCTGTATGTGTGCATTGAGAGATTCAGTATACAAAATATTTTCTCACTTATTCTGGGATATTTCTACATTATAAATGTTTTATTTGGTTTTTATTAGGGTAAGGTTGCTCCAAATCCTTGGATCGAGAGTCCATCACCAGCACTCAAAAAACAAATTGCTAAGTTGGCGGGAAGCAACAGCCAATTACAGCGTAGATTTAGCCTGACGTCACGGGCTTGAGCGCCAAAACCCGCAGGGCGTGACGTTTACTGTTGATCAGCCAATGAGAGCGCTCAGATTACTACGTCAGTCTGGTAGTGGTGCCGTACCATGCGTGGGAGGAGTGAGGGCGCGCGCTCCTCTGGTAAGACATATTTTCCTTTATTTCTCCTAAATTACTGGCTATTTGTAATTAGTGGATTTACATGGTAATATAAACAGTATGTATATATAATCTGTAGTAGTAATTCTGTGAAATTATTTTTATATCACTACTATAAATTTTAATTGAAATTATTATTAGCTGAAGCATTAATTTATTATCCAGCGTTTTATATATGGATTTTGTTGCCATGGATACGTGAATATGGTGGATGTCTTGTTGAATTATTCTAGTAAACTAAGATTTAAATGTCATAGTATGGTTTTTTTTTTGTAATTACTGATTTTAATGTTTATTATTTTAAACTGATTTAAAGTTGATATTATATTTTTTTGCAGTTGCCATGTTTTAAGTTGATGCAAGTTAAATTTATTCATATTTTCCAAAAGCTTTTTTTTTGGGGGGGGGGGGTGTTGACCCTTTGAGATCCTAACTGCGTATGACCCTTGTAGGTTTAGAGGTTCTTTATGGTTATATTACCCTTGTAGGTTTAGCGCTTCTTTATGGTTATATTACCCTTGTAGGTTTAGTTCTTTATGGTTATAATGTATGACCCTTGTAGGTTTAGCGCTTTATGGTTATATATGACCCGTTGGGTTTTGTTATAGTATGATTTAAATTTTTTTAAAAAATTTATTTAGGAACTTCTTAATTTTGAGATGATTTAAAGCTGAACACCTGTTCAATATTACTGGACTTTGGTTAATATTTTAGGTATTAAAAGTATTCTTGACAGGTGGTGCATAGGTTACATGCAGCCTTAATGACCGTGTAGTAAAAAGGCTTTAAACCCAATACCCTAGTGGGTTTAGTGCTTTTTGATTATTAAACCCAGCAAATCATGACGTTCGTGAAGTAGATAGACTTTAGGCCCAATAAATTATGACCTTTGTGTAGTAGATAGGCTTTAAACCCAGTAAACCATGACCTTCATGAAGTAGATAGGTTTTAAACTCAATGAAGCAATTATGACTTGTGTAGTAGATAGGCCCTTAAAACCCAAAAAAATCATGACCTTCGTGTAGTAGATAGGCTTTAAGCCCAATAAATCCATCATAACCGTGTAATAAGCTTTTAACTCGGTAAATCACAAATAACCTCTGTGTAGTAGTAGGCTTTAAACCCAATAAATCATGACTTGATTAGTAGATAGGCTTTAAACCCAATAAATTATTAGTGACCTTTGTGTAGTAGGCTTTAAACCCAATAAATCATGACCTTTGTGTAGTAGATAGGCTTTAAACCCAATAAATAAATCATGACCTTTGTGTAGTAGATGGGCTTTAAACCCAATAAATCATGCCCTTTGTGTAGTAGATAGGCTTTAAACCCAGTAAATAAATTATAACCTTTGTAGAGTAGATAGGCTTTAAACCCAATAAGTCATGACCATGTAGTAGATAGGCTTTAAACCCAATCCATCAATGGTGTTTGCAGTACATTCCATTAAAATATAAAATTGTTATACAGTGGACCCCGACTTGCAGTATTAATCAGTTCCTGAGAGCACATTGTAAGACGAAATTATTGTAAGTCGAATTAATTCTCCCCATAAGAAATAAAGGAAATCAATCCATTCAAGACGCCCAAAAGTATGAAAAAAAAAAAGTTTTACCACATGAAATATACATTTTCCTAAACACACAAAGGAGGATACATGCACAATATATATTGTGCTTGTACTAGTGTACTAAATGAAGATTAAATGACACCTTCATCGATAATGTAGTGATGACTGTCCTGGGAGTGCCTTTTCCTCCTGAGTAATGTAGGTCCTGTTTGGCATTTTCTTCCAGAACAGGCCTTATCACACTGTGTATGCCACTACGATTCTTAAATCTCTCAAACCAATCTTTGATGGCCTTAAATTTGCCAATATGAGCACTAGTTCCAGGCATTTTTTCCTGTTCACCTGGGTGTTAGTCGACTGGTGTGGGTCGCATCCTGGGGGACAAGATTAAGGACTCCAATGGAAATCAGTTAGTCCTCGATGACAATCTGACTTTCTTGCATTATCCTGGGTGGCTAACCCTCTGGGATTAATTGTTTCTCGGTATTCTCGATAAGCCACACCAATAACACTCTCTCCCCATCTTCGAGTAGTACAGCTGACCGTGGTACGATAGTATTTCTCACCCTTTTTACCACAGGGTTGGCACTAGAAGCTTTCTTTGGGCCCATGGTGGCCTTTTTAGCAGTTACAAGCACTAACCATGCAACCGTGTCTGCCCTGGCTTGTAAACAGTCACACAAGCTCAGCTGAGGCTTTTAGACCAGACTAAGTAAGTAAGTAAGTAAGTAAATTTATTCAGGTATACACAATACAGTCACATAGAATTATCATACATAGCGGCATATGTGTAGAGAACCTAGGATAACCCAAAAAAGTCAGACAGAGTGACTTATTTCCATTGGGGTCCTTTTACCTTATTATTATAATATAAAGGTTATAATATTTTCTTATTATTCTATAATGAAGATAACATCTTATTATCATACTAAAAAGACTATCTACTACACGAGGGTCATTAAGACTATCTACTACCCGAGGGTCATTACGACTATCTACAATACGAGGGTCATTACTAGGGATAAGGTAAAATTTACACGTATTTTAGCTAAAAAATAGAAAATCATTCCCCTCCCTTTCTGTTGCTTCATTCATCAGACACTTTTTGGCAGTCTTCTTGAACTGGTTCAAGCTATGACTGGCCCTTGACATTTGTGGGTAGTCTGTTCCATTCCTTTATTGCTGTACAATAAAAGGTGTTTGAAGCCTGGCCACTGACTGTGGGTACTACAAAGTTGTGCTCTCTCCCCCTAGTACTATGATTGCTTTGGTTCCCAACCTTGACAAAATTGACAGCAAGATATTCTGGACACTGTTCGTGAGCAATTTTATAAACATGATTTAGCTTCAGTTGTTTTACTCTGTCTTCAACATTCAGCATATCCAACTGCTGTAATTCATCCTGGCCTACATGTTCTCTTGGTCCCAGCCCCAGGATGAATCTTACGATTTTGTTCTGGGTGATTTGCAGTCTATCTTTCAGTTTTTTTGTCAAGGCAGAGTACCAAGAAGAGCAAGCGTAATCCATATGGCATTGTATAAGGGCTAGACATAGGGTCCTGCGAGCCTCAGTAGGTAGACACTGTGCTTGTCTATACAGGAACTTCAGCCTGGCATTCGCTTTCTTTACTACACTGTTCCCTATAAATTTTCTCCTGACATGCATGGGTCAAAGGGGATTCCAGATATTTAACTGATGAAACCAAAGTGATGGACTCCCCATTACACTGAACATTAAAAATTATTTACCCTTCTCAGTTTTATGTTTCGTTCCAAAGAGAATGGCTTCAGTTTTCCCTAGGTGTAATGATAGTTTGTTGTCTACTAACCATTTGCTGCAGGACTCCAGTTCCAGTGTGTTAAAACATTAGCAATATCTCGTGGGTCTTTACCTGTCACTAACAGAGCACTGTCATCTGCATACAGTAGGAGTTTGCACTTGACACTGATAGGCATATCATTGACATAACATAAGAATAGTAAGGGACCCAGAATTACTACCTTGGGGAACTCCACATGTTATCGGCAGGGGTTCTGATTCCGTTTTGTTGATTTTGACTATTTGTCTCCTGTTGCTAAGGTAGGACTTAAACCAGTCTACAGAACCTATACCTATAGCTTGAAGTTTCTTACATAATATATTGTGGTTGACAGTATCGAAGGCCTTTTGCAGGTCTAAGTTTACCATACCTACGAGGTTCCCTTTTTGACATTTCAGTTCTCAGGTAATCCATCAGATTAATAAGGGAGGTATCGGTTGAGTAGGATCTTCTAAAGCCCGATTGATAGCTATGGAGAATGCTGTTGTCATTAAGGTACTTAACTACTTGAGAATACACCGCCCTCTCCAGAATTTTAGATATTATACTGAGTATACTAACAGGTCTATAGTTGCTTACATCAGACCTATTATTTTTCTTGAAGATAGGAGTAACTCTGGCCTCCTTGAACCCCTCCGGTACGGTAAATTTGTGGTGATTGATAGATTTATTATGTGAGCAATAGGGATTGACAGTTCAAAAGCACCATCTTTTAGGAACTTAGACGGGATGTTATCAGGGCCTGTGCTCTTAGTTGGGTTTAACCTGCTTAGTTCTTTTTGAATGAAGTCATGAGATACACTTACTAGTTGACAACTGTTTGGGGTTACCCCTTTATTGGTATAGTATGTTTGAAACTTATCAGAGTCTGTGTTAAAGGTATTTGATGCAGCTGGTAGTTTACTTACTAGTGTTGATGCAACAGATGTGTAGTAGACAGACGTGTGAACGCTACGGGATGAATGATGCAAGTTTTTCAACGCATGTTGGGGTCAAATTTTTATGCTGACACGCATCATAAGTCGGTTTTAACATACATTACATTTAGGACATCAAAAGTTTGGGGTCCACTGTATATGAAATAATATTCTCATTGCTAATCTTTAAAATTTTATATATATTTCTTAGGTTTGACACTTCTTTATTTTAATAGGTATAATATGTAATAGTAATAGTAAGGAATATTTCTTTTCTGATTATAATATTGTAATTAGTACATTGGACCCTCGAATTTCATGATTAATCCGTTCCAGAGAGTCTGCTGAAAGTTGAAATTCATGAACGGTGAAACCATTTTCCCCATAAAGAATGAAAATCCAATTAATCCGTTCCAGACACCCAAAAATATTAAAAAAAAAAAAATTTCAAATTAAATAGATTTACATACAGAAAACAATGAGAAATAAATACACATATATAAAATATTACACTTACCACTTCTGGGTGGATGGAAGATGGGAGGAAGGGAGAGGAAGAAGGTACACTATTGTTTGGAAGGGGAATCCCCTTCCATAAGACTTCAGGTACCAAGTCCTTTTTTTCCAGGGTTACTTCACTTTGTTTTTTTTTTTAATGGCACTGCAATCGTTTTAATACAATTATGAACCATAGATAATGGACATGTATATAGAAGTACATAATAATAAAAGTTAAGACGTTAGTAGTAAATGCTACAACCCATTCAAAATAAAAATTAAATGAC